CTTCTTCTTTTTCTTCTCCTTCTCCTTCTCCTTCTCCTTCTCCTTCTCCTCCTCCTTCTCCTCCTTCTCCTTCTCCTTCTCCTCTTCTTCTTCCTCCTCCTCCTCCTCCCTTAAGCAGTTTAGTAAATATAGCATATAAAATTTGTCTGAATGGAGATCATTGTCCCGTCTGGAAAAGACAGCCACTCTTATTGGTGAGAAAGAACAAAACACTAATTTGATTTTCAAATCAGGCAAGTTAAGCTGTGATGAAACGTTTTGGCCCCCTGTTCATATGTGAATAACATTAATTGCGATTAATTGTTGTTGAGTGGTAATTGATTTTCTTTTTCCTTTTTAAAGAATTTTTTTTTCTTTTTTCCATGTCTCAGATGATGAAAAACTCCACCATTATCTGTCACTTGTTGGTCTGACCGGCCTTTTGGACAGACTTGGAGATTTGGATGTGGATGCTGAGTGGAACTGGTGAGTTTGTTGTCTCTTATTTGTGAGCTTGTGATTTTCTAGCAAGCAGAACTTAAACCGGTGGACCTGGATGTGACTAACTTAACGCTTTTGCACGTTGAATGCACACCTCAGAATACAAGGGTGTGTGTTTCAGGGCTGCCCATCATTATGAATTTGGCGGAAGTGTTACGATTTAACCCCCCCGTTCCCTGAAAATACAAACCAAATAATACCTATATTCCGATTTTATAATTTATGTGCCATTGGGCTTCCCCAACCCATCCCAACCATCCTGGATAAGGGGAGGAAAATGACCACACTCCGTCAGTCTATGGCATGATGTTATTATGGGCAGCTGTCTAACTTTAATATCCTCTATGTATTGATCTGTCCCCGTGGTTTTATGCACCCCGCATAATTTAGCAAAATTTGATCATTTTTTTGGCATAATTTCTTATTATTTTCATTTATCATTCTTTGTTAAAATTAACACAATCGCATAATTTCACATTTTTGGGCGCAGTTTGCGTAATTTCAGAATTTTTCTTGCATAAAACGACTGGGACAGATTGAGCTCTTGTAGTCGCTCAGTGCTACTGTGCCCTTTGAAAAACGTTAGTGGTGCTAAAGCCAGGAGTAAGGCAAAAATTGGATTGATCAGGTGTTAAATACCAGCTGTGCTTTTGTGTTGTGTGTGATAGGCTAGGTCAATAAGAGAATAAAAAAACAAAACCAGATGAAGTTTCAAACAATTAGCTGCGGCGTATGGCTTGGTGTGTAGTGATGCACCATCAAGATTAAAGGCTTGTGACGTACTCTGTCGTTCCAAGGGTTTCTTTTGTTTTTGCAAGCAGTGACTACTCCTCTATGTTCTTTATTTTAGTTAGTATGATAAGACTGTTTTCAGTTATATTTAGAACAAGGATTTAGCTGTCACTCATATGACCTTATGCAGTTGCGAGAGCCGTAAAACCTTACAACGACAAAACAAAAGGAATTAGCATCCAAGGTTCATTTTCTTAATGCTCAACTTGTAGGAATAAATAAGGCTCTAAGAGACACCATGATGTTCATGGTTGAGATAGAATCAAGGCTATTTCTTCTCCTGATGACAGCTTTTGCAAATTTTTTTCACAAATTCACAGCAAAAAAACCCAAAAAAAACTTGTTTTCTTTGTATTTGCAGGTATGATGAAATGTCTCCTGGTGAAATGCAGAGGCTTTCTTTTGTTAGGTTGTTTTTTCACCAGCCCCCATACGCAAGTAAGTCAGTTCTTTCATGGATGTGCCTATTTTAAACGGAGAAGATGGTATTATTGTGTGGTGTTTGGATGTGAGGGGTTTGCTAGGTGCTACGCTTAAAATTCAAGGTCAAACACCTTTTTGAAAATAGATCCTTTTGAAAAGAGCGAAGTAATAATCACAGCGAGTATTCTCAGATGTGTTCACAATAGCTCCAATACAGAAATAGCATTCAATTTTTTTCTTCTTGTATTTGTTACCAGTGTACTTTTATGAAATTTGTCACTCTGTTGATGAAATTCATGAACATCTATGCTCAGCTGCTTATTTACCTTTGTATTTGTTGTCTCTGTCTTGTTTCCCTCTGGTGGTTAGTCCTTCTTTTCTTTCCCTTTGTTGTTTCTGTTCATCAGTCTCCTACTCCTTTTCTGCCTTAAATGACAGTAATTATGTTTAGGATTATGTGCTTCTATTTTACTCTAACTTAAATTTAATTTCCATTCTAGTGTCAGTTTGTTTTTCTTAAATAAAGTCCAAAAAAACTCTTACCAAAATCTTAGACCAAACAGACATGTTACCGTTGACACTTACACACCTTGCTGTTCCCACAGTCCTGGACGAGGCCACGAGCCAGGTGAGTCAAGACATGGAGGAGCTACTGTACAGCACTTGCCGAGAGCTGGGCATCACCATCCTAAGTATAGGTCATAGGTCGACCGTCCGCCAGTTTCACGACATGGAGCTGCACTTTGACGTGTCGGGGAGCTGGTCTCTGACGCCCGTTGAAGGTCTGACGGTGAACAGCTGATGATGATGATGCTGACGGTTGTAGGGTGAAGGTCATATTGTTCTTAGGGTATTACTAAATTTGCTAAGTGAGTGTGAGTGTGAATGAACATGTGTCAGTGGAGGGAGGTAAATTAATAATCTTAGATGAAGTGCTAGCCTCTACCTCATTGCTAGTTGACTGTTGCTACAAACAAAGTGATCCGTCTGTGAATATACATATTGTTTGATTTAAATCAATGACTTTATTTTTTGTATGTGTTCTGCTTTGTGAAACTTGTTCATCTGCCTCTCACTTTCATTTTTCTTTTTCATTTCTCATGGAAGTGTGTGATGTTTAGCGGCGAGTATCAGAAGATTGTATGTTGATGCAGGTTAGAGTTGAATTATTTATTTTTCTTGTGATATTTCTTGGGACCCAGTTTTAAACTGATGCAAGGTTTGGATGTGTCATGACTATGGTATGTCCCGCATAAGTTCAAGGAATATACTGGGATGACCAAATATGATGTCGTAAATGTCTGCTATGGATGAATGCTGGCGATTTGTATTTTTGTGTGTGTTAAATTAAAAAAATTTCCTCATCTGTTGCCATTGAGCATTGAGGGGAGATGCCGTTTGATTTTAAAAATCAAATAAAGTATTTATTTTTAGTGTTTGAATACAATCATAAGTTGCAAGACTGCAGATTGAAACAAAATGTTTTTTCACTCAGCCAAACGCTCGATTTGATATTTTAACTATTTTCATTTACCAGACTATTGTAGAGATTGAAACATCAAATCATCATTTAAATTGTTTTTTGTATCTTATGTTTTTTGTTTTGTGAAATTACTATCATATAGTATAGCAGGGGAGGCCGGCAGATTTTAAATGAGGTTTGTTCACTTCCTTAATCATTTTGTTGACCAAAACATCGGTTTAAATTCATTACAACTTGTTACCTGGAAAGTTGTCCTTATGACTTTGATCAAGTACATAGAGAAATTAGAGAAATTGTTTCTTTTGTATTGATTTGTGGTAATATCAGTGTTTTTTAAAACGCTTTTCCACTTTTGGTGCTGATAGTAGTAATAGATTGTAAACTTTTCAACTGTGTTTTTAAAAGATATAAAAGGTGCTCTTTTAGTAGGCACCCTTCTAATTATTATGTTTTGTAGCTGGACTTTGTAACAGATAGTTTATACTTTGAGCAGATTAAGACAGACTTTCATGTGCTCTTTCAATTTCAGTTCTTATAGGTGCACTATTATTGCCGAATTTGAATAAAACAGGAAAAAGAAAATGGTGTCTCTACTCCCTTCTAGGCACTTGAATTTTGGAGAGAAAAAAATAGGAGTATAGATTCTTTTCGAAAGAATTGAATATTCAGATTTTTCTCTTTAATATAGTGAATAGCTTTCCATGTTCTTTAAAAGGGAATGTCTTTCCCCTGCTCAGTTAACAGATTCAGCCACAGAATGTTTACAATAACTGTTCAAAAGTTTCTCTAAGGCTGATTGAATATTTTATCTTTATGACTGCCGTGTTAAGTATATTTAAGACTTACTTGGGTTTGTTAAATAGAACTTGTCTATTTTGGTAAGTGAAGCTGTAAGCAGACTGGTTATTGTGAATGTTGACATGAGGAAGAAGAATGCGTGATTTTTGCACACTGTAACTCATTTTAATTGCAGAATGTATGTTGAAAGTTTGTTTTATTTAATTTCTGTATGTGGATATTAAAGAATTTGTTATTGTTAGATTATAGATGTGAATACGGTATTATCCGTTTATTGATACATATGTACTTTGTGCTTTCAAAGTCTCTTTATTCCATCTTTCAGATTATTGTATATACAACTAATATATTGTTGCTTGTCAATTTTGTAACTTTCAACGTGTTAAGTTCCAGAGGAATTTTTTCCCCTAAAAAAATTTTGGTGAGCTTACAATTTTTAAAATTTGTTTTTTTGCTTAGCATTTGTGTGGCAAAGTCAGGTTTTCACTGGATCGATTCATCCATAATATTGATAAATTTTTATCTTCAAAGCTGTGGAATTTTCTCTTTGACAGTATTGGAATATCAGGAGGGTAGTAGCTTTTTCAAGGTTTGAACAAAAAACACCACATTGAGTCTTCCATGAACAGATAATTTTTGCTATTGGATTAAATTTTTACTTTCTGTTTATATGCTTACATTCATCATTGATATTTTACAATTCAGTTTGAAAGAACTTGCTGCCATGTCGCAGTTGTTGAGGACGTGTTCCATGGTTTGTCAAATGCACAAAAATTTAAGATTCTAAATGCATATCTGTATTATTGAATGGCTTCCATAGTGGCTTTTGTTAGCAACTTCAATACATATCATGTTCCATGTATAGCTGCTCTGAGCTTGTTTTTCTAAAACTCTGTTGGTAAACTGATTTTTATAGAGCTACCCACGGATAGTTATAGAGGGAACTAATGATAGGGGGGGGGGGGGCTTATTCTTGGCAATGTTTTTGTTTTACGTTTTCTTTCTACATAAACCATTTATCTTTCTTTCCCCCCTCAATGCTGTCTAGCTGTCCTTACTGCAGTACACTTTTATTCAGTCGTTTGCAAATGAATTCAATCCTTTTATTATGGAGAAAACTTTGAAAGGAAATGCATTTAAATTATGCACGATGTCATTGTTTTCTACTAATCAATAGTCCTACTGACCACATCTACAGTTTGGTACTATTTTGGTCTGTCGATCAAGAGTTATTAGTCATTTTCGCTGTGTGGTTTTCATGGTGTCTTTGTGCCCACCCCCCCCCCCCACCTTAAAATACAAACCATTGCCATTTTCATCTTTTTTCTTTTCTAATGTAACTCTCAAAAGTCACGATGGGGTCGCTGTGACATGTGCCATAATTTTTTTTCTTCTCAGTTTTATTATGTAGCAAATGTTTACTGGGTATGTTTTGAGCTTTTTAGGTATCAGATGACCTCTGTGCTGTCTTCCAGTACCGTTGTGGAGTTTGGACATTCTCTGCTTGTACGTGTAAATATTCTTAAAAAAGATTTATACGTTTTCTTCGATGTTGAACAGAAGTTTGTTGGGAATTTTCCGCGAGTAAGTTTCTTTTGACAAACAGCGAAATCTATGTCAAGGGCAAAAATCGTTCCACTCAGCTGTTCTATCTAGTGAAACAAGGTGCTGCCATATGTCTTAAATTTTTTTTCAAGGTTTTGTCATGTCATTTAAGAACACATTGAAGTCTCTGAGAGTAAAGCATTAGTAGAAAATCTTGTTTTCTGATAAGTACTTTGCTTTGATTGTCTATCCATTTCCATTTCTAATTTTCTGAGGAACCAAGAAGTTGAAAAGGTGCAAATGTATTAATTTATCAAGACCGCCACTCTGTCTCGTGTATGGTTGTTTTTTCACCCTGAACTGTCTCTCCTTGTTCTAAATGGCTTTTTAAAATTAGTCTCCAGTAGGTAGGTGGTCTGGGACGTCTGGCTTACAAAAAATGTCAAGCATGTGTCTGTGACATAACGTTTGGATGGTGGTCACTGGGGATTGTTCTTGTGCAAGACAAAATAATCCTAGCTCAAAATTGGGGTGCTGCACAATAGTGACCAGCAATGGCTTGATGATTTTCTGCATTGTTGTACTATTGTTTATTATGTAATGTCAATGTTTTATGTACCATATACTTGCCAATAATATGACCGCGTGGAGTATAAGGGGGGTACCCTTTGACTCCAAAATCGGCTCATTTTTGTAGATCGTGTTTATAATACGGGGTGAATTATTGCCCCTGGTGCCATCAACTGCATTGGAAATCCCACTTTTTCTTAAAGCTTTCACAACTATGTCAGTCAGAAGGGATACTTTCCCAAGAACTAATCTCCTGTTCAAGGAAAGTTTTCAGATCTGGTCCTCGCAAAGCACCACTTTTGGTCAAAGACTTCATTAATCTTTCAGTCATTCCAATAACGAAGCCGGTTGTCCTTGAATGGTTTGTTGAGAAAAATGTTGAGCAGTCGCAAAAGTGAAGTGCAAGTGCTCGGAATGACAGACTGCTTTAATATTAATAAAGATGCAATTTCACCGACTCACAGAGATGTGTGCGGAACTGATCACCGACCAAAAGTATTGATGTATTTCTCAATAGATTGCTGGGTTGCTCCTCCCGCTCTTTGTTTAGACACTGACTTGCAACTCCCTAGTTCATCCACTTTTACCTGAGTTTTTACGATCATACCTGAGGGCAACCTGTCCTTTGGCATGGTTTTGTGTTTTAAAGTAATCGCTGGTTGCGACTCGGGTCCCTTTGTTGGGCGTGATCCCGACTACATGTTATGCTTATAATGCAGGGGGTATACTACTTTTGAACTTCATTTAAAATAACGAAATTCTCGTATTATATGGGGTATATACAGTATAAAATATATCTATGTATGCAATGGAGTGCGCTTAAACTGCCAGAAACAGTGTGGCGGCCAGTTCAAGAAACCTGTATGCCATATTTGTCGAAGATCGACTTTCTCGTGGCGGAAGATCTTTCTCCATCACATATCTTTTCAATGTGAGGGTCAGACTGTAAATATCTAAAGACAGTGACAGAGAAAGACCTGCGGCCACAGAAAAGCAGAAAAAAAGGTCGATTTTAGAAAAACATGGCGCACAAGTTTTTAAAATCTAAACCGTCGAGCAGTAAGCTAAATGAAAAATAAAAAATCCTCAATTTCTTTTCCTCTGTTTGAGCAACCTCTTTAAACGGAAATCCCAGCCAACCCGAAGAGAATGTGGTTGTCCCTTAGATATTGGTTTATGTGGACTCCACAGTATTTTTGTGTTTATTTACATGTTATGTGTGCCATTGTAAATGAAATCTTCTAAAGGGGATCAATAGAAGAGAATTTTATTTTTTATTTTAAAGCGGCGTTAAATGGATGGAATGTATATCATTCTTTCATGTATCAGAGTTAAGTTTCTCGCAGAATCAGAATAATTGTTTTATGTGGAGTGACAGAGTTTTGATATTCTTTTAGCTCAGGCATTCATTTCTGTATAGAATTTCCCATATTTTTTGTTACCTTCATTTGATTGTCAATGAGCTTCACCCAATATTTGTTGTAGATATAAATAAAGAACATGTTTTTATTGCAAATAAGTAACATGCACCCCAATATATGATGTCTGAGGAGCTTATAGAGTATGGGTCCAAAGTTATCCTTTGCTTTCCCATACACACAATGTATTTTTTTTCTTTTCAATGGTGGTTGTATTGTGAGTTGATTGCTCTTCTCCTTCCCTCCATGTTCAGATGTTTTAGCAACAATTTTCAACCAGTGGTGGGTTTTGGTGTACTCTACTGAGTTACCGAACCTTTGTGTCTGCAGTCATTGGGCATTAACCAGACCAGACCACCAATGATTTATTTATAGAGGCACCTTTGGGCATTAACCTTCCTTTAAAGAAACAACATCTGTGGCAGCAGAGGCTGTGAGAGTTTGACACACCGGGAGTTTGGTGATTCCTGCTGACTTTGACCTCAAGGAAATGCAAAGTTGTTGCAGTTTTGGGGATTTTTGTGTGTTTGTGTGTGTGTTCAGGCTGCCTAGTGTAAACAGGCTCACCCTACTTTGTGCCTACAATGGTCTAGGAGCTTGATGGCAAAACTGTATAAGTTTGTCAGGTCTCCCTTTAGTGTGTTTTGTTCTGGTCTAAATTCACTCACAAAGTCTGTGTGTACAATCCCAGCTGGAGATGCATGTCCGCTAAAAAATTGGAGATGTTTTTTTAGTGAAAACATGATGGCTATCCAATTTATCATATGATGTTGAAGGTCTGTACTTTGTGCAAGGAAGAAAATGATGATGAATGCATGTTGCAGCTTTTGTGGTGAATGATCTGATGTGTATAATGTGAAAGTGAAAGGAAGAAAGAAAGCACAAAAGAGATTTAACATAAGTATTTTGTTTCATCACTGCTTAAATTATCCTGCGAGTTCAGACCAAAGAACAAAATGAAAGTACTACAAATCTTGTGTGTACTACTTTGCATTTTTATTGAAGCTGGCAGCAGAAACATGCTTGTTATGTCAAAATGTTATATGAAACTTTCAATACATGGCAATTGAATTTGCACAAACAAAACAAGTCTTTTCATGTTTATTACTTATCTTGTTGCTTATTGTGAATAACTAAAAAAACAAAACAATTAAAAGACTGGTTAACTGCTAGCAAAATTCAATATTTAGTGAGTATCACATTGCCTGAATTCAGAGGTCTGATGCTGTTTACAGAAAGAGCCTTCAATAGAGACCCTAATGATTTGATGGCCAGTATATCTCAGTGGGAGATATCCTTCCCTTAGTGAGATAAGTAGTGGGGCAAAGCTGTTAATGAACCCATATGTATATCTAGCTATATTCTATCTCCTGTTGAACCCAGACATTTGCTGCCATGACCATACCAAGGTTGGTCACAAAACCAGAACAATTTTAATTGAGAAAAAAAAAGAGTCAAAATATCTTGCTAAACATACAAGCGTAAATTTATTTATTACAGGTCCTATCTTCATTGTATTTGTGAATAACGGACAAATAACATAGCTTTTAGCATTACACATACCGGTATACATATTCTACTTCCGTTCTTGAGATTGGTAAACAATATAAATAATAAAAAAACAGCAAAATCAAATAATACACCAAGGCCAAATTTGCTACAGACTATGTATCATTAAGCAACTAGCTAACTTTCTACAGACTATGTATCATAAGCAACTAGCTTCTTGGCCATTGAGCAGAATAAAACACATCATATTTGAATGAGACAATATGCAAATTAATATGCACTAACTTTAAATAATACAATACTGATACATTTAAATAATACAATACTGATACATTTAAAGTGAGTGTATTGAGTATATAAAATCTGGCACAATCAAGAACAAAACAAAACAAAAAAAATCATTAACTGAATCCAATCCCTCTTCACTCAAAATGTCAGCACCAGGAACCTTGCCCACAACAGAGCAAAGTCATTAGGAATAATACTGTGATATGTAAAAGCTTCAATACTGTGGCACATTTGGTAAAAACATTTTAAAAAACTGAAAAAAACCCAAACCAAACTCATCCTTTGGTATAACATCAAGACTGAAGGCAATAGGCCAAGAAAGGTCTTCTGTAATAATGAAATAACAATAATGTAGATAACTTCTACAGCGTTCACTTCCGTACAATACAACTCTAGCCCCTTTACAAATAACAATGGCATGCTAAGCATTCTAACCCAACCATCCCCCAATGCTGGGTGCAGCTCTGAAGCACCCACAACTTTTGCAAGAACAGCAAAATACTGGACAGGGACAATTCGCAAATTCCATCTGATAGTGATACAGTAACTTGAAAATCCTAAATGAAATAATAATGTAACTATACACTTGATGCCGATCTGTATTAACATAAATAGAACTGAAGATGCTGATTTAAGAAAAATCTCTGTTTTCATGTATTGGAATCGTCCTCTTTTAAATCGAACTGACAAAAATGATGCAATATGATGAAACTGATGTATTATGACTAGAAACGTTCATAGAAATATTGTAAACATTTTTTGTGCAGAAACAGTGGAATTCTCTCCCTATATCATTTGCAACTGAAAACAAGTGCCCCCCCCCCTCACAAATAAATAACAGCAACACCCCCCCCCCAACAAAACAACCCACAACAAAAAACCAGCAAAAAACAAAACCCACCAGCCAACCAACCAAGAAATAAAATCTTCATAAACAGACAAATGAATCTAAAATTAGGAACGATAAGGCACAAAACTGGATATACTATACAGTCAGTTTACAAACTACTAGAACACACTTCTGACAACATATTGTCATTCATAATATACAACTGAACACAACCAGTTCAAATGTCTGTACGCATGAACCATAACCAACAAAAAAAAAAAAAAGAAAATAAAATATATATTGTGTTTTAACAGTTGTAAATATATAATATATTTAAAAAAAGATCATCTTTGTTGAGAAAGCTAATAACATTAGTCATGGCACTACCAGTATCAGAAGGACAAGAAAAGCACCACCTGTGTCTGCAGGCTTAGAAAACACTTGCTTAAACACCTCATTTAACACAACAAACATTCAATATAATCTGCAGAGACTATGAGAATAAAAACCAGTGCATAAGTCTCTTCTAGTCTTACGGCTTCTGTTTCTCAAGAAATAGCGATCTGGTGGTTGATAACGTCGATTGATGACAGATTTCTTTTGGAGTTTCTATTTGATGACATTGATGTCGTAACAACAAGTAATTAGATTTCTCTTGTTTCCCGGCTCATAAAAAAAAAAAAATTGATAGAAACCTAAATGTACAATTATTTCACTCCATATACACAATCAGGACAATTTTTATACTTCTGAGCATTGACTACATTAATTTTATTTTGCTCTGAAATCATATCCCGTACCGAACGAGTCGAGAAATATTTCCCAAACTTCTTTCAGCCCTGATAAATCTGCATGATATATTGCAGTAATTATGTAAACAGATATTCAGATAAAGACAACCGGCGTCAAGCATAAAATTGAAGGCACTCTCATAGAAAATAAACTTTTGTAACATAAAAATAGACAATAATGCTGATGCATGGTCCAATATTTTCTAAACATTAAAATAAAAATACGTTAAAAAAACACTGGTTTCACAGAGCATAGTAGTGAGAAAATGTTAGTCTTTGTGTCGATGTGGATTTCAACCGCCAAACAATATTCATAAACTCAAATCAAATTTATACAATACATATATCTCGCACAAGTATACATATGTCTCTTTTTCTCTCTCTATATACGAATATAATACATAGTCCAACCTGCTAAAACAGCCACCTGTCCAAGACAATCACTTGTACAAACGACCACTTCCCATTTCCCCTCTTGCGTTTTTTAAAGTATTATAAAGACACTGTATAAAATGTCGGCCTGTCTAAGAAGATAGCTTTTTTCCCTCGACAATGGGTAGCTGTCTTGGACAATTTTGATTATCTATGTATTGACAATAACAATTGCAAACTGTGCAGGTCTGAAATAACAGCTTTCAAGGAAAATAGAATCGAGTGTAAAGTGCGCAAAAGGATAGATACCTACAGATTGGGGCCAATGTCGAATTTAGAAATTTTCCCTCTGTGAACTTGCACTATATTTAGATATGATGCAAGAGGGTTTCTGTTTCTGTGCAATCTTTTCTGACAAAAATAAAACTGACCCAATTTCAGACTTACTAGGTTTGCAACTGATGTCTTCCTTCAAAATAAATCATAAGCTTATTTTCTTCAATTACAGCAACTATGAGACCAACTTGTAAATTGTCAAACATAAACACTCCTTACGGAAACAAATAGTCCGAGATGACTACCACAATGCTCCAGAGAAAGGTCAAGGAGGTAGAGCTGAAGGAGCTAGAGTTTGTCTTGCCCTCCTTCTCTGAATTCTGACACTCTGGAACACTGAAAAGAGATGTAAGAAAAAAACAACCCATTACTAATCAAGCAATTCTAAGTAAAGCCGCCAAGGTCACATTGGGACAGAAAGAACATGTTCATATTTGAAGCATAAAGCTAGATGAACTGTATGATATTGCAATACCGTGTAGATAGGAGTCAGATAGAGACAACTTGCAACTGCAGACACTCTAGTATTCAGTGGAGTCCATTTGATTTAAACCAAACACAGTTAATCTGAAATCAGTGGTAAACAGAAAGAAAATAAAATCCTCCATTTTTTTTCCTTCTACTTGACCATCCTCTCTAAACCAAAAACCCTGCTAAACTAAAGAAAATCCTGCGGCCCTGCAGATTTTGGTTTACATAGACTCCACAGTATATCACTTGTAACATAAAAATAGATGAGTTCATTTCTACTTCTTGTCCTTTTCACAACAGAAAGAGTGTCAATAAGTGTGTCTTACTTTATTCCACAGCAGCAGCCAAAGCAGCCTCTAAGAAGGCCTGGATAATAAGTATTTAACTAAATCTGTAAAACAAAAAAGTTGGCTTATTCGTTGAGCTAATATTTTATGGCATTATCAACACAATTTGGCCATATAAGCAGCACAAATAGCTTCCTTTCCATTGACCTGTCCTACTCCTGAATAAAATGAGGGACACACATTCATAAAATTTGATAAATATTGTAAAAGTATTCCCTTTTATACAGTTTTATAGCAATGAATAAAAATAAATTTACAAAACACGGTAAATGAATATTTTAACATGAGATGTCCAGAATAAAATAAGAAAAGGAAAACTAAATAAAGCTGTTGCAACTATGTCTGTCCCAGAAAAAAAAGCTTGTTCAATATAAAATTGGTAACAATGTCTAATACGTTGAGTGGAAATAGATGATGATTATATAAAGAAAATGTGAAGATACGAAGGGAAAATATGGAAACAAATGTGAGGTAGCTGGGTGGAATCAGGCCCTCGTCAATTTTTGGGCATGTAGAGTTATTGGTATCCTCTTATAGCTTGTTCACTTGTCTTTATTTGGATGAAAAAAAATATTCATTTATCTTGAATAC